ATATATAAATACAAGGTCTCACCAAACCTCGACTTAGAGAGGATAGGTGGAAAAGATAGGAACTTTTTAAGTTTGTTGAATGCTTTTTAACATTAAGGGGTCCACTTGAAATCGAAGATGTTTTTGAAAATTTTAAAAAATGGTAGACATCATTTTACCAATATGGACATAAACTTACTCAGGGTGACTATTTTTTCAGTTAGCCTCTGTATGTCTTTTACTGAGATCAATGCTTAATCATATAGCCAAGAAATTTTCTCGATTTGACTCTAAAAGAACACTTACTAGGTTAAGCCTCATGTTGTATTTTCTTAAGGTGTCAAAGGTCTTCTCGAGGTCTTTCAAGTGCTTGAAAAAACTCTTACTTTTGACTATCATATCATCCACATATACTTTTATGTTGTGGTCGATCTAATTTTTAAAGATCTTGTTAACCAACCTTTGATAGGTTCCTCTGTATTTTTTAAGTTAAAAGGAATCACCTTATAGCAATAAAGGTCATTCTTAGTGATGAAAGCTATTTTCTCTTCATCTTTCTTCAATATCTTGATTTGGTTATAGTCAGAGTAGGCATCCATAAAGCTAAGGAGCCATGCTTGGTACTATTATCCACTAATCGATCTATGCTAAGGAGAGAAAAATCATCTTTTGGGCATATTTTATTGAAGTTGGTAAAGTCAACACACATATTTCATTTTTCACTATGTTTTTTTACCATGACCATGTTGACTATCCATTTAAGGTAGTAAACTTTCTTGATAAAGCCTGCTTGTAATAATCTGTCAACCTCTTTTTTGATAGCTTTTTACCTTTCTAAGGTAAAAGACCTCTTCTTTTACCTAGTTAGTTTCACGTCCGGGCTAGTGTGTAGTCTATGAACCATCACCTTGGTATCAATCCCAGGCATGTCATACAGTGTCCATGCAAATAGGTCAACATTATTTCTTAAGAGTTAAATTAATTATTCTTTGTGTTAAAGTTTTGTTTTAATTTGCATGTATTTTTTTGAAATATTTTCCCTAAATGATATAGTATAAGGTCTTCTATTGGCTTAGGTCAATTTTCATCTAAGTCAAGTCTTTGGTCAATTATTTCTTTTTATTCAGTTAAGTTGATACCATTTCTTACGAAGATAGATCCTAATGTGATAATTAGTATATTATTGATAAATGATTAGAACATATGCTGAATATAATGTATTTCTCATTTTAATTTTTGTTTTGGCTAGTATGTTAGCTTGATCCAAATGACATTTAAATATTTATGCCAACTTAAGAGCTCAGTCACCTTCAAAATCATTTCAAAAGTTTAAAAAATGAAATAAAAGATGTATCTTCTATTAGAGCTATTGAAGCTTAAGAGCTTAGTATAACTTAATAGCATGCTTCTATCAAGTCAATTGTATGTTGTAAGTTCTTACTCTTATTTTTTTACTTTTCATCAGTTCCTGTTGTTTGTCTTTTTTCTTTAGCATTCTTGGTCTTAGTCAGGTTGCCAATCTGCTTCCCAATCTTTTTTTTTCATTATCATGATGTAACATTGTCGTGCTGTGGACTATCCTCCTCTCACCTCTCCAACCCCTTGAGGTGTTAAAAATTTTACCTTCAGATTGGGAGCTAAGCCTATGAGTCGCATAACAAATGGCTAGGTAGGCCCAATATCATATTGTAGACAAATAGGACCTCTACTACTATGAATTCTATGATCAAGATGACTGTCTTCGATTTCATCCTTAAGGAGATCAGTAATTTTATAGTTCTTTCACTGGTGTTTGCTCATTCTTACTAGGGTTGTGGTGATCAATTAAAACTGATTTTTCTTAATACCTATTTTTTTATGGTGGCATAATACATGACGTCGGTCGAACTCTCGTTATCGATTAGGATCTTCTTGACCACATAATTATATACCACAATCGTGATTACTATAGAATCATTATAAAGATGTTAGATTCCTTATAAATCTTTCAAGCTAAATGAGATCAACTCATCTTTTCAATATTTTTTTTTGTTGAAGAGCCAATGGCCATGATCAACTTGGGTTAGACTTTCTTTTGGCTTAAGTTAAGCTTTCTCTAGTAATCACATTAATCACTTCGATAATTGACCTATTATTGTCAAGTCAGCCTTTTTCTTGTCTTTGCTCATCTTCTCAGACTTTTTCTTTCTTCATTTCTCTGGCATACCTTTCTTGTCTCTGATGGGCTTTTTTCGATCCTATCTATAATTCAATATGTTCTACCCTTGTCTCCTTTGCTCTATAAATCTTTTTAATTGACATCATCTTATCAGAGCTTTAATCTCATTTTTGAGGTCAACCCAATCATTGATGTTATAGCCTAAGTCTTTGTGGAAGGCACATCTTTTGGTTAGATCCTTACTCATGTTTTGCTTGAGTGGCTTTGGCCATCTGAGCTCTGGGTTCTTCTCGTTTGCATTAAAATCCTCTATTATGAGATATTTAGTGTAGTATAATTTTTTTTTCTACTAGAGCTTCGAACCCATGCCTTTCCCTTTTGAGGGAAGATTGTAAAATTCTTTGCCTTTCTTATAACAAAAATAGGGGATGTGCCTTTCTCACCTTAGTTATTTCTCATTGTAGCTTCAACATTCATATTTTTTTCAGCTACAAGTAGGATATTAGCCAGAGCTTAGTTGCTCTAATGATAAGGTCAGCTTTAGGCGGTAATTTTTGTCATTGAGTCCACTTGTCAGAGTGGCTACAACGGTCGTTTGTTCCAAGTTTTTTACCTGTAGAGCTTTCAAGTTAAAATACACATTATAGTTTTTCAGGGATTCATTACAACCTTGGTGGATTGACATCAAGCTTAATATCGTCTTTTTCATTTTTCGACTGCATATAAATCAAGACAATAAGGAATGGCTAAGCTTTTTAAATATTGTGATTAACCTTAATTTTAAACAACTATACCATAATTGAGCTGTGCCCTTGAGAGTAGCAACAAGGCCCTTACATATCAAAGCTTTGTTTACACCCTGCATCATCATGTTAATCTTATAAAGTTTCAGATGATCGAAAGGATCAGAAGTACCATTGTAAGTTTCTAAACTTGGCATTTTGAACCCTTTCAGAGGCATCGCTTTATTGATCTCTTCAGTGAAAGGTGAAGTCTCAAAAAATTTGAGCTCATCTTCGAAAGCCATTGCTTTCGCCTTTAGTTGTTTCTCTATAGCTTGTATCCGAGCTTTTAAGTCTTTGTTTAACTAAGGCTCTAGGTTAGTTTGTTTTGATTTTTGGGTCATGACATGTGTTAATTTGTGACTAGGGTAGTAGTGAGCAAAAATGTCATGCTCTTTTTCTCTAGAGGTCGAAGAGGCTTCCACCTCTTCATAGCTTGATTACCTTTCCATAACTTTTCAGCTAGGGGTAACTAGGTCGGGAACCTTCGAAGCCAAGGATGGAGTTATAGTTTGTAACATTTGTTTGAAAGCCTGTATCTGCTCGATTAGAACCTAGAATTGCTTCATAGTCATATCAGCCTATTGTAGGGCAAGTCAGATCGAATGCTGGCTATTGTGTGTCTCTATTTCAACTGTAATGATCGTACTTCCTTCCTTTAAAGTTCTCTTCATATGTGGCATTATTTTATGCTCGACTAATGAATAGAAAACCTCCTACCAACACACTAAATGTTTATGCCGAGCTTTGATGTGAGAATATTATTAGAGGAACAAAAAGCAAGAAAAAAATGGTTAGATGCAAAGGCAAAGAGTGTTCCCTGTGTTTACACTCTGACACGTAAGTTTAAAATCAAGATGAAGAAGGTTGGAAAGAAAGGAACATAAAAGGTTTAAGATAATATGAAACCTAGGATGATAATGCCTGGATGCTTATATTTATAGATGAATGATAAAAGGGTCAATGGAAGTCAATAATAATGTGATTGAGCTGATATGACACTGAGTGTGTTAGGTCAAGTCGAAGCAAATGTCCAAAATACCACTGATTATCAGTTAGGAACTCTTTATGAAAAAAAAATCATTATACCTTTTAAATCACTAAATGCTTCTAATAAGTACTAAACAAGTTACCAAACGGTCCCTCGCTTGTGTAGCTTTTAGTTCTATATTTTCTGAAATAACAATGTGACTATGAGGGAGGTCTGAGGAGAGACTGACAAATGGGAGTGTTGTGGTGTTGTGGCTCTAATCGCAGCTTGTCATGGGCATCCTAGACTTGTCTTATGTAGTGCGTGGGGCCGGGCGATGGAACTTGGAAGCTAAAGCTATTATTGTTAGCAGAGGCCCCATTCTCTCTACGCCTAATAAATCATGCAAATAATCATAATTCTACCTGAGAATGAGATAAGACGGAAAAAGAGGATGGGACGTAGAATTTGCTTTCAACTCACAACTCCTTCGAAGAATAATTTTATTGCCAATTTTTTTTTTTTTTAAGGATAAAAGAACAAACAAATTGATTGCCAATGATGTTGAAAACAATTTCTCTTCCGAGGATGATAGGCCTGAAACAGGTACTAACCCATTTAATAAATAGGCTTGCTTAGACTGCTCAAGCCCGTCCTTTCCAAATTAGCTGGACTGTAGGCCCAAAACTGATCTCTTCCTAATGCAAATCAATGAACCCTCTATCCATACCATAGGCTATATCCTTCTGGCTCTTCGAAAGAAACATTGGAAATTCTGGAATTAACTGAAGACGTTACTCTATGCATGCTCGAATGTGCTAGAAATTTTCAGTCAAGTTTTCAAACTATGCTTAATGCTTTTCGATCAGTACATGGAGACAAGATTGCTATTTGGTTCTTATGAATGCACAGAAGAAAAGATATTATTACTACAAAAACATTAAAACAACTACAATTTCCACTTATCTTTCACTTTTCAGATACCATGCAAGGACAGATGATACATCGGAATTCAAAGTTCCGGGAAAACTATTACATAACGATATTTAACCCTATAATATATATATATATATATATATATATATACTTATAAGTTACAAACAGGATAAAAAATAACTAATACTAAGTAATACTAGTAGTAATAATGGGACGGCCAAGAACATTTACGTAGCATTATTCCTGGTACGAAAACCATTTCAGCGGCGCAATTATACGAAGGTTGAAACTAATTGATGAGATGAGCACGAATAATAACATTTCGATGTCCAGAGACCTGCCTGCTAGGAACAGCGGTTTTCTGGCAGTCCAAGGAACAGTTCTGTCTCTACCTCTGAGCTCAGGCCGCTATAAGTTGCAGCTTTCTTTTCAGTTGATGGCTGCGATTGCTCCCCACCACCCTAGAATATTTACAGTGAATAATTAAAATATCAACTACCATTACCAGGAAACCTGACACATAGCAATGGGCAACTCCTATTCACTCTTTTATCATTCAGAAATCAGAATAAAACCTAGGTTTGGAACATGCTCACTTAATTATAAGAACATGAAGGTCATGACTCATGCCGGGCAGTAAATATTTTGGAATGATGGATCACCTTTGCAGATAACTTTGCATTCTCTTCTCGTAGAAATCTCTCCTGAATTGAGATGAACATAGGAAACTTTATTACATAACATTGACACTCCTAATATTCGATAAGCATACTGTTGCAACTTGTTTAGCCATCATACCTTAGCTTTTAGTTGCTCCATCTGCTCCTTAAATAAATGGCCCTGCAACATATAAGACATGACAAATTCATTAGCTTTAAATTCACTTATTAGGCTTTGTATGAATCGATATTTTTGTTATTTGCTTTTTACTTTTTTTTTAAATAAAATGTTTTTAAAAATGACTATAAAACAAGATGTAGATATAGAGCACAAGCATCAATATCAGACGGAGCTTTATGTTCCCATATTTTGTTGCTGAGATATGACATACATAAAAAAGGGCAGTTCAATTTGCTGGTTACAAACCTTTCTTGCCCTGATGTTTCTTAAGCTTCGTTCCAGCTGGCTTTCAACCTCCAGAAGTTCCTCTACAGAGCACGAGCCAAGGCTTTGACCCAACAGCTTCCTGAGATAACAAAATTTCCAAGTTCAGATAGATCTCCTATTTCGAAGAATTGCTAAATAAAATACATGTCTGGAAGAAGCATCGAACTAAAATCATTAACCTTTGAGAAACTTCAAGAAGCTCAATCTTCCTGGCCATATTTTCTGCTTCAAGCCTCAGTTGCTACATGTCAAATGCATAAGCAAATCGGAAAGTACATATGTACTTGTTAAAGAACGCAATGAATTTCATAAAGCGGTACAAATTATGATAGATTCATATTCAGTTCCCCAAAAACACAGTTATCATGTTATCATATCACAGAAGCTAAATGATTATCATATCTGTTTGAACACATTGTAAAATAGCATCCAATATATGATAACCATTTAAAATCATCTAAAAATCTTATAATGGCCTCACGAAAGTTTTATTCTTAAAGTAACTGGCAAAAATATGCCTTGTTTATGTTTTCCTCTAGGAATTAAATAGTTGCTAACTTACATAAATATTAGGGAGGATTTGTCGATGCATCGAAACTTGAAAGGCTTGAACCTTATCTCCACACTCAAAGCAGATTCTTGAGTGAACAGTCAGAAACTCAGGATACTTTTGTTTTGAGTTAGCAATATTTTATGAGTTATGACTAGAAACATGAGTTAGTCCTAAGCCAGGCATCCAGACTTTAGGATTTCCAACATTACGCTAAGAGACAGAGAAATGAAATCATAAGAATGAAGTTTACGTCGTTGCATGCTACGACAAGCATACATTTTGTTTTTCTTATCTGTTCATAACTTGTCATAGCAATCCATCATCCCAAAAAACAAATCACCTAAATATTTTTATTTTTAGAACATACTGTACTATTGCCGTTTCGAGGTTTTAGATTAAGTAGATTTAAAACTGAACATATGGAATATAAGTTTACTAATCACAGAAAAACGGATACTAATGTGATCAAGTTGGATGGTGAGTAGTATCAAAGAGTAGTCAGTTTCAATATTTAAGATCAATTATTCAGAGTAATACTGAGATAGAAGTGGATGTCAAATATATGATTCAAGCAAGATGAACAATATGACATAGTACGTTAGGTGTGTTTTGTGATCGTAACATGACTTTAAAGTTAAAAGCGAATGTATAAAACAATTGTAAGGCCTGTATTTCTATATGGAACTGAATGTTGGGTTGTTAGGAAACAACATAAGAAGAAAATGAATGTAACAGAGATAAAGATGCTTAAATGAATGTGTGGTAAGATTAAAAGAGATAAAATCAGAAATGAAGAGATTCAAGAAAAATTATAGTTTGTCAAAATTGAAGAGAATATGAGAAAGGGCCGTTTGAGATGGTTTGGACATGTAAAACGTAAGCCTAGTTATACACCAGTTAGAAGAATTGAGTCTCTAAATCTACGAGAGATCAAAACCTCTAGAGGTAAACCACAAAAGACATGAAAGCAAGTAATAAAAAACAATATGATAGTTAAGAAATTAGATAAAAAAGTTGTTCATAGAAATGAGTGGCGCAAAAAAATTCAAATTACAACCTAATATGATTCCCTTATTTGATTTTTTATACAACTGACTCCTAAATATAAGATATAAGATTTAGTATGTTGCTGTACTCTTCAATTGTCAACTAAAACTAAAGAGTACTTAATTTTATTCTTCACCGTGATGATTTCTTATTAGTAGCATATATGGTTTCTTCATTCCAGTCTTCAAGAAAGAATTTTTATATTTTCTCCTAATGTTTTGAAAATATGCAATTCAATTATAAAATGCTTCTCCAATGTATATAGTATTTACATTTTTTTCTTTGTTTGATTGACCTCATAAAACGTCAAAATGGTTAGACCAAGGGAACTCAGTGGAGTTCATGGACAACATTCCACCGCCAAAGCCTTCACTCCAGCAGCAACAAATGCTTCGCCCACAGGCCAGTTATGTAACCTTAATTCTTTACAAATTTGACCTTCAACTATTTCATTTGACTAAAGCACACTTCAGAAATGCTCAAGAGAAGGTGAAAAGGGTTATGAAAATCCTAGAGTAGGATTCCAGAAAACAAAAGCTATAAAATTGGACAATGATACTTTCATTTATTCCTACATCTATAACCACTCTTCAGAAATTTCATTCTGCAATGAATTATAATGAAGATGCAATAGAAAGTTTTTAACTGTGACAAGTACTTTGTAACCACTCGCCAAAAATTTCATTAGAGTAAACTAGCATGAGCCTATAAATATTCAGTGTATATCATGCCTCACCTATTTTGAACTGTGATAAGTACTTTGTACCTTAAACCACGAGTTTGAAAAACCAGTTGCAGATACTTAGCAATGCTTTAACCTAATCATTGTTGGTAACCATTTTTCTTTAAAACATAGAGGAAACTTACTTTAGATTAAAAAATTCGTAAACATTTGAACAATCAAAGGTTGAGGTCTAACCCGAGTGTATCGTTCCATTTCAGGCTTGTCAGTTTGGGCTTCTTTGATGTACTTATGGTATCGTTCTATCGTCTTTTGCATGCTGATGCATCCAAAACACAAAATGAAATCAGTCCTTGTTATATCTATTTGTAAGGAATAAGAAAAATCAAAAGGCCACTAGCATAAATAAATTATTCTTTTATGTCAATATAGATGAAACATATATCTGTCAGCTTTATAGGTTGCAAACAAAAGATAAGATTAAGAAATATTTAACCTACAATATATATATATATATATATATACACCATATCGAGATTAAATTCTTTTATTAATAAGTATTTTCAGTAGAATGAGCAAAGTGTACAACATGTGTGCACTATATCTACTAATGGATCAATGGTCATCACTCATCATGCAGTACGGGTCCCATCAGCGCAGGATTCGCAACACTTTTTCATGGTGTATTCTCTCCTGGCTTGAATCTTTTGTTTCTAAGCCAAATGATTTATTAATAAAGAGCCAAAAGGCTAGAAAGCTAAAGTAACAAGACTAGCAAAAGCATAACAGAAAGTCAACTTCTAGACTGACAGTACCTAAAGGTAGAGTTAGAACCTAATTTATCCACAAAAAAAAAAGGTAAAAATCTAAATAGATACACCCGAACCAGAAAAACTAGAATCTTATGGCTTGAACCTGCTGTCTTATACTTATTAACCCCAGGCTTTTACCTTCGCCTATACAATTTCAATTTGAAAGGCCTCTCGTCTTAACTGTATTCTAGTACTCCAAATTCCACATAATATGAAATTTAATCTAGCATTTCTCAATAAAATAAGCATAATCATATTTTTTAAATATATCATAAGGGACATGATTCACCCTACTAACCCGGCTCTCTAAAAGCTTCACCGGTTGCAAGTGAAATAATTTCTTTATATATATATATATATATATGTGTGTGTGTGTTTGTGTGTGTATGCATGTGTGTACATATATGTATATATTTTGAATGTTAATATCCTTTATTATTTCCTATATAAAGCATTGAGAAATTGAGAGTTCAGATTGTGCATGAGAACCTAGAAATTCATCTATTACAGGGGGAAAATATGTCTTGTTTCTATACTACATATTTACATGTTTCCTGTAAAAGTAATTTTATCAGATCTTCAGTAACAAGAAGCCTCTATAAATGACTAAAAAAGGATTTGGGATTATGAATATTTCCAAACAAAAGTGACCAAAAGAGATCTTTCAACTAAGATTATGCTTGTGTCGAGATGTACAATGCTTACAAATGGAAGGAGGTCCCAGATTGGTTGGTGGCTTCTGTGGAATCATCAATTCTTATTTCATTTATATTAAGAATTCAGATTGAGCATGTGAAACATGGACATTCATCTATGCAGCACATGAAAAAAATTGCTTGGCTTTCTGCTACACTATATTAAATTCAAATTGAAAGGAACATTAGAAGATTCAGTAACTTTAAGCTTCTATAAAGGCAAAAAAAGGATATAGGATTGCAAATATATCCAAATAACAATGAGCAAAAGAGACTTTCTAAGAAGAATGCCAGTGTAGACGTGTACATTTTTTGCGGAAAGGAGGTTCCAAATTGATTAGAGGGCTTCTGCGAATGCATTGATACTCAACAACAAATATTAGTCATCTTGGAAACAAGGAAGTTATAATTTCATTGACCAGTTCTAGATGCAACATTTGACACATATACCAGGGTGTCGATTCTATAGACCTAGGGTTTTTACATCATTTTTTTCATTGAACTTGTCCATATAGCTAGATGTCATAGACATCTTGTAGCAACAAATTCTTCTACCATGTATATAGAGCATCACATCCTAGCTAAAAGCCAGCGGAGCCTCTTCATCACAGAAAACCAACGCCAATATATTACAATTAACTTTACCATTTTTTAATATAACATGACTTTGCATTTCTTATGAGTATAGTTGATACTCATAGCTCAAAATGAAACTATAGCCGGAACCACTAGATCGATGCAATGATAATATATAATCAACATCAAAGTCATAGACTTCCAGAACAAAGTGTAAATCACATTATCATAACTGAAAGTGTCACATAACAATTCTATTCTAAATTGGTTTCACAGAAAGGAGTCGATCAACCAAAACAAAGCTTAAAGATAGAAAAGTATCGTGTAATAAAAGCATATGATATTCAACTTAATTGCAGTCCGATGTATATTTGAAAGCCCCCTAACCTTTGCTGCATAAAGATTTAGCCTCAAACAGAAATGGACAAAATCAGAATAATCTAAAGTCTAAGTCTGAGCCAAAAAGTCAATGCCAACAAATTAAAACCTGAGGAAGGAGGGAGAAACAGGAAAATTGATTGATAGGTAAAATTACTGTCAGATGCAACTACTAATAACTAAGAATGTATTATATGATTTTTCCTCCACTTAAGCCAGTGTAAGGCCTCACTCTAACAAAGACTTATAAAAATAAATCTATGTTAATTCTAGACTTATGTGATCATTGTATATCTAATATTGTGAGAGAGAACAAACATGCAACCAGGCTAAGGCTTGTAACCAACAATTTGGTTATAAACTTCCAAATAATCTAGAGTTTCATGCGTTGAACCTGGGGTTTTGCTAACCCAAATGGTTCACCCACCTTCCTTAAGGGGTGGTTTCCAATAAGGCTGGAGTTCAATCCCAGTACTTGCAAATTCTCTTTTCCCAATTTTCTTTAGGTCGTGGACTTTAAGTACCAAAAAAAAATTTAATGTGTTTTTCTTGCTTCACCAAAATAATAAGTAGTCTATAAGTTACTACTACATGATATTGAAAGTATAATAGGAATGTCCCAGTACTTTCTCATCGGCTTGTTGGTCAACTCACAGTAATTTGCAATTTTTAAACCATACAGTCAAGTTTCAGTACAGAAATCTATATATAGACTAGAAACTACCCATCCTTTTTTTCAGCTGTATTTGTTTAATAAAAAAATCGAATCTTAAATAACAATGTATTAAAAGTGTAAATAAGTTAAAACACTATTAAATATTTAGTTCAAAACATTATGAACGAATGAAGATCTTATAGTTGTTGATTACATAAGTCTACACAAGTTACAAAAAAAAAAGTACCATGTCCAAGACTAGATTGGACACCCTCAGCCCCTCCCTTTCCCACACACCACGACTCACCATATTTTTCTCTCCCTCCTATATCTCCTTTTCTTTCTTAATCCGTCCAATTGGCCTTAGCCAGCGGTATGCCGCCTCCCCCTCTCCCCTCCACTTCTTCTTTTTTTGTCCTCCCATACCTCTTCTCAGAAAAAAAAGCTCAACATTGTTTATAAGATTTGACAATGTCAGCCATGTCTTCCGAACACATGTCAACCAACCATTATTACGCCTTTAACATTCATAAACTTATAAGTATGCATAACACATCAGTTCTTAATGTAAATGGGGTTCCAATTTTATGTTGCATTTTACAGGAATCCCCAATACTTAAATTTTCTTTATCAATTATTTCAAAACAGCCAAAATAATTATTGTCTTAGATTTCTAGTATTTTTCACTTTACTTTCCTTTTGCATTTGTGATGATTCAAACTATGAAACATCAACATGATAAACTCCCAACTAACCAAACTATATTTCCTTTCAACAAAAAGAACTCCCAAATATTCATTTAAAAAAATAAAGCAAAGAACAAAACGGTGAAGCTAGGTAAACATCAGTGAAGCTAACATAAAGCACTCTAGCCGGACAATAGTCTTTCCAAAAAAATATTACACTTTCAGCATATAAAATTCATGACCATGGCCTATAGCACAAATAGACAATAGAAATAGATTGGCATAAATCATATATACTTTTCCCCTTCAAGAGTTTTTTTTTTTTTTTTTTTTGTAATTTTATGACCAGATCAATTCCCATCAAACAAAAATTGATTACCACAAACTCTAAAATTTAATTAATTAGAGCAAAAGAAAGCAAACAAAATAATGGTGCAAGTAAACACCAGAGAAGATAACATCATGCATGCACTAAATGGAAAATCAATGGAGATAGCCCTTCCTGTAAGCATGTTAGATTTCAGAAGAAAACTTGTGACAATGGCCACCAACAGACAACATAAATAGATCATGCTTTTCCCTTTCCCTTTCCCATTCATGCAGTGTATTTGGTAATTTTGTATTCTCAATCATGTGAATTAAGTCTCTTAGAACAATGCATGCAAGATTTGAACCCCGCTTCAAAGTAGAAATGCACTGATTCATTAATTTAACAAATTCTAGGAACACATAAGTAAGATAAGATTGTTAATTTTCATCAAGTTAATTCATGTACTTCAAATTTAAACCTACCATGCGAACTAATTCTAAACAGGATATTTGATCCATTCTTGCCCCAACAATTCATCTAAACCCTTAACTAGGTTAGATTAAAGAGTTGAAAGAAGTTAGTTCAAGAAGCAAATTTGTAACAATTATGAAGAAAAAGACAAATCCCAAAAGTATTTTCCATTTTACTAATGCAAAACGATGGTTTCGATGAAAATCTAGCTATTGAACCAGAACTATATATCAATGGCTGGTTCCCAGCAACACTAGCATGGCATGCAACTGGCTATTCAAAAAGCTTTTGCGAAAACCTAAAAGACTATCATTAGAAGACGCATTGACATTCTTAGACAAGGATTGAAATAAAGCTGGTCAATGGAGTTTCAAGGGATGAGATGATCTACTTCAAGTCCTCAACATATTGGAGAGAAATTATTTCTTAAAAGAAGGAAAGGAAACCCCAAAATATTATAAACAGAAAAGTAGAAAGTAGAAACACATGAACACAAATAAGGATTCCAAGGACTTTGACCATAAAACTTATATACTCTTTTTTGGTTTGTTCCCTCAAAAGTTGAGAAAAATCCCAAAACCGTCAAAAAAAAAAAATCATCAAGCGTAAGATTGCCAAATAAAGTATCAAAGACAAAAAAAAAAATCCACCATAAATGTGCAACTCTTTGAAGATTGTTCATAGAATCTTTGACAGTACAAACAATATAAAACTGAATTTTTGGGAAAGATATGATTGAGACCAAGAGAGAGAGAGTGAGAAGAGACAGACATGAAAGTCCTCCTACATATCAAAGCAATTATAGCCCCACATCACCAGACACCCTCAACTAGAGGAAGTAACTGCCCATACTTTGATGCTACAACACGCGTTCATATATACGACCTCCAGCAAAATATCTAGAAAATCGACGTTATGAATAAAAAAAATGAAAATTAATGATGGAACATACTCAGAACTTGAGAACTCGTAGACTCTTCCTTTCTGTGAAAATATGATGACAGCAACTTCAGCATCGCAAAGAACAGATAGCTCGTAAGCCTTCTTCAACAGCCCGTTTCGACGCTTGGAGAAGGTCACTTGCCGGCTTGTTGCTTTTTCAATTCGCTTCATCTGAATTTTCCCTCTCACCATCTCCTGCTTCCACCATGAAAACTCATATGTTTAAAAATGCAGAAAACCCTAAAGCTTAAAACAGCAAGAAAGAAAACTCACCAAATTTAAGAAGAAAAATATTTCAAAAATTCCTCGAGTTAAGCCCAGATATAAAGGCAAATATGCATAAATATTCATTAGAAATTAAAGCTTCAACCCAGAAATATAAATGAAGAAAATAATCAACATTTTGGAGAGATTGATGACAATCAACAGCAGCAAGAAAATTTTTATTTTTTAAAAAAGAACAAGAGGAAAAATAAGGAAAACCCTGAAATTCACAATTTAAGAAAGTACAGTCTACAGAGAAAATTTTCTACCAAAAAAGCAAAAAAAAAAAAAACAAAAAGAAGGGAAGAATCAGAGCTGTGAAAATTGCAAAAAAAAAAAAAGTTCAGAAACCCTAAAAGGATTCACAAAGCAAAATCACTGAAGATCCTTCCATTGTTGATGTATCACTCCCTTTATTTTCTAACCACAAACCCTACGTTTATTATTTTTTTTCTTTTTTGACCTTATTCATACATTTTTCTATTCTCTTCTTTCTTTTTCAGGGGTTGAAAACTATAGAAAATGAAATGATCAAAACGGATTCATTCAAACCCAAACAAACGACAAAACAAAAGTGATTAAAAATGATTCAAAAGACTCTGAGCCAGGGGGCCTTATGTTGTTTTGGTGAAACTTTGGAGGAAAAAAAAAAAAGAAAAAGGAAAGTTAGAAAGGAGTAAAATAAAATACAAAGTGTTCAGACAGAACAGAAAAAAGAAACGATAGGAAAATGGTATCTCGAGTTTTGGACAACATCATCGTGTACAATGACGTGAGCGTTTGACCAATGGCTTCTCGACACAGCATCATCTTGATCTACCGATGGTAGCCGACTGGCACGTGTCTCGAATTTTATGGAGAGTCATAGAAAACTTCTACGACTCCGAACTTAGAAGTTCTTTTTTTTAGTATTTTATGGTCTTTTTATTTACTTTTAACATAATTAATTAGGAGATATTTTTATTTTACTTAGGAAAGCAAATTGGGTGGGACAATTCCTAACTGCAAGGGAAATTGTGATTGGTCGAAGATGGAGAAAATGTATTGGCTGAAACTTGAAATAGTAGGTTTTTTTTTGTCACAGAAATAGTAGTTTAGTATATGCAATTTTTGGACGTGGCAGAGGGCTAATTATTGCGGGCAGGGTCTTTTTTTGCCGATCGGTGGTTTTGTCTTTGGGTTTCTCTTCCTCTGTATTTGGGCTCCTTCAATATGCGGGCTATTACAGACCACCGCTCCTCCTTGCCTGTTTACCATAGACAAGGAAAGGGTAGCAGACAGGAAGAAAATCCAAGTCTGAGACTTCTCTCAAGAGGGAAATTTAGAGATTGAAAGAAGATCGCTATGCAAATAAATAGTTAAATAGAATACATGTATTATAAAAACAGTTACAGTTCATTTCCTGGCTTTCTAATTGATTTTATTGGGTTTGAAGTGACATATAATAAGATAGAAATAATATATCACAATAAATTTATAATAAATAAATGATAATTAATAATCAACAACATAAAAAAAATAAAATACATTATATACATTTCTTTTTGTCCAAGGTTTAAATTTTATTTTATTTATTATTTATTCAGTAAAAATATTTAAAAAAGGCATAGACTTAGTTAAAGAAGAATTATTCAGTTTGATAAAAAAATTTTTAAAAAATAAAATTCAATCTCAATCCAACTATCAAATAGACTCCTTAAAGAATCTAATCATAGTTGAAACACTGTTAGGACTTGGAATCTCCTCTATAAATTGGTTCCAATATACACAAAAAAATAATAGAGATTAGAGAGAAAAATACATAAAAAAGAGAGCAAAACAATAGAGGAAGGGCAAAATAGTTTCTGGTGTTGGAAATTTTTGTTTTAGTTTGCATCTAAGTTTTCTAGAAAATTGAGAGACACAAAAAATCAGAGGCAAAAATAAAGAAAGCAATTGAATCCAAATTTTTTAGAAAAATTTATGGCAAAGGTTTTATTTTAGTTTTGAAAGAGTTTGTTTCTTTCTTGCAGCCGAGTGGGCCACAAGTTATAGCTCCATATGAGCTTTTTTTTATTTTTTTATTTTGCTATTTTGGTATTTTATTTTATTTTATTTTTAGTTTTATTTTTTTATTTTTGTTGTTATTATTTTATTTATATTCTACATGATTAAATTTTAAGAAAATTAAAAAAAAATTATAAAAATAAAACTTTAATAGAATTTGAAAAATAAGTAATAATTATCCAATGATAGAATTTTTTTGAAATTATAAATAGTAAATTTCTATAAAATTTTTATGTGAGAAATTTTTTCTAGGTTTGACCCAAATGAAGGAGAATTTAGATAAAATTTTAATAAATAATAATTAATAAAATTTACGAATTGAATTAACAATCACCTAATGATGAGATTCTTAAAATTTCAAATAATAAATTTTCTAAGAAATTTTTAGATAAAAAATTCTCTAAATTTATCTCAAATGGTGAAATAACTTAAATAAAATTTTAATGAAAGTGATAGTATTCTTTCTCAAATACAAATTAAAAATTTAGATGAAAATATTTGATAATTATCCAAAGATGAAATCTTAAGAAAATCACAAATTGTTGAATTTTCATAAGATTTCTAGGTGAAAAGTTTCTAAATTCATCCCAAATGGTGGAAGAATTTAAATGAGACTTTAAAAAATTACTTGTCATATTATTTTCTTTTTAAAGCTTAAAAAACTAACAAGAGTTTAGATTCTAAATAGAACCAAATTGTGAAAAATTTAAAAATAAAAATAAAAAATAAATTCTAATGATGAAATTCTTAATAATTGCAAATAGATGATCATTTAAGAGATTTATAGGTGAGAAAATATTTGTGGCCCAAATTGTAGAAGAATTAGATATATTTTTAGCAAAGAAAAATTTAATAAAGAAATTGATTAAGCTTTTCGACGATGAAGCCTCTTCAAGAAAACAAATGGGATTCTTGAATATTGTTGAGGTGAGAAAGTATTTTTAAGAATTCTATTATTTTGATGGAGAAATCTTAAAAGTCACCTTTAATATTTAAACATTAAAATAAAGACCATTAGAACCAAGATAATTGTTAAGATAATTTAAAATTAAATGGTACCATTTTAAGATGGGCATGTAGGGGTGCTATAACATTCCTTATATGAAACTGAACTCCTTAATTATATTCTAATTAGTAGACCAGAATCTATTCTTTAGAAAACTTTAATCAAACTTGGGAGCTCTTTAAAATGATAGATTTATTAGGTGACCAATCATACATAGATAAAATATTACTAGCGACTCCTCTTATTAAGTTTGGCTATAGATTTACAGATCTATACGTTATAACAGTTTGGCGACTCCATTGAAAAATTGAGAGTTAGGCTATTAATTAATTTTGAATTATCCTAATTTTTTTAGTTTGCTTGGTCTTAAATTACTAATCATTTTTTGTTTGCATTTATTTATTTATTTATTTATTCTTTAACTTGGCTTGTGAACATGGCGAATAAAGATATATATATTCTTTCACATACACTATCACATGTATATACATCACATGAGCTTTTTATCTTGGCTCTATCATCTTTAGTAGAGAATAAAGTACTTACACTCTCGTGAGATGATAATCTTCGTAATGGCTAACGAAATACTCTCACTCAAATTAAATCATTTTCGTTTGTAACCTATGATGGGCGATGATTGGAGTGCCTCACTAGTCTGTAATGGACAATGATATGATAACAATTTAGGAATATTTAAATTTAACCCAAACCACATATAGTAAAATGGAAGAAGCTAACTTTAGGTTAGGGCCATATCTACCAATCATTATAGTGTAACCCTAGTTAGGACATATGAGTGGACCTTTTGAGTTTCATTCATATCACATTTATGACTAATGCTATTTTGTCCTTATTGATTAAGTTATTATATGTTGTTTGTAGTATTCTTATTTCAGCATCACTAGCATATGTATTCATCCATGCCTCATAATGTGACACGTTAGTACTTGCGTTCATACATTACTGTGTATATATTTGTGTGTTTATGAATCATAGTTTGTTATGTCAAGTATTAAATGCATTCATACATTCCTGCATATAGGATTCTTAAAAAAGTTAGATTAAAAAGCTTCTTTGCATACACATTTAGTAACAGAGCATGCTAATTATAGTATAAGGTTTAAAGATAGCTCCACCGTCTAAGAGCTTAGTTCAACCCTTCACCATCAATACAACACTAGAGCTTGAGCCAAGCAAATGAAATAAGAAAATGTAAATTGTCTGGAAAAAATAAAAAAAACTCAAGAAAAACTTGAGAGGGAATTGAGCAAAATTCTAGAAGCTTTAAACAAGTTAATCAAAAGGAAGGCTATAGAAGAAGATGCCAGCCCACAAAACCATCCGTCACAGGATGTTGTTGATCCTCTTTACCCTTCTAGTTATGGGTCGCATCAAGCCTAGTCTATGCATAATGCACCACCACAACAGTTCACATACCCTATATGGTATACATACCTCGAAATGCCATCAGCTTTTAAATCCAGGGCATTACCAGAGTTATGTAAATCCTATCTTTATTGGGAAAAATAATAGAGCCAATCCAAGTTCATAACCTGGATAGTTTCGAAGAAAAAGAGAAATTAAAAATAAAAGTGGTTGGATTCAATAGCTGATAAAAAGATGATTATACTTTAAAAAAAGCTACGAGTAGTGGAGAGAATTGGCTTTTATGTTTTCGTGGATGCTACTAGCTCTGTTTAAACCTAGATGCCATTATTCCTTTAAAGTACAAAGTACCAGAGTTTAAAAAATATAAAGGTATAAAGTGTCTAATGACTTACATTACCATATACTATTAAAAAATGGCTACCTATGCTAATAATGAAAAGTTATTAATGCATATATTTTAAGATAGCCTTACGAGCTTTACTGTTAGATAATATGTCAACCAGACAAGACCCGCATTCACTCTTGGAGTGAAATGGCTTGTAACTTTATCAGTTAGTACTATCATATAATAGATCTAACTTATGATTACTTTTTCTTGTAAAATATGAAAAAGATGGCAATTGAATCATTTAAGGAGTATGCCCCAAAGGTGGAAGGATATACCTACTCAAGTTCAATCACTTTTGACTGAAAAAGAGACTATGGTAACTGTTTGTAAGTATTTTAAAACTTTCTTAATACGAAAAGATGATAAAAAATGCAATGAAGAACTT